TGTGTGTGTGTGTGTGTGTGTGGCCAGCTCAGCCCACCAGGGGGCGGGGCTGGCTGGCATGTGGTGCTGGAGGATTGAACTGCGGTCCCTGTGCTCTGCTAAGCTTATTCTAAGTAGGTGCTTTAGACCACTGAGCCATCTCACCAGCCCTGGACATGTTTTTAATATAAATGTCTGAATTGTGGGCCTCTTTACCTATATGGCCCTGATTTTGAAGTTTTCAAACTATCCTGATGGTGAAAATGACAGGATTAAAGATTGCTTTTTTAAAGTATTGCCTTTTCCAACAGTCCTGTTTATGAATTGGAATCCTGCAGGGTGTAGGTATCTGTAAAAGATGAGTAAGTTTGAGAAAACATTCTGTAATTTATTTGACCAGTTCCCTATTGATGTTTTTCTTTTTCTTTTCTTTTTGGAGACAAGGTCTTACTAAATGGTCCAGGCTGGCTAGGGTCCAATCTGTGTAACCTAGACTGATTGTACATTTGTCACCCTCCTGCCTTAGCCTCCCAACAGGTGGAGTGACAGGTGTGTACCTTATGCTGGCTTGGTGGTCATTTTTTTGTAGACATACATGAAGTTACACTCTGTATATTTTTTATTTCAAAATTGTCAATTTTATACCTGAGATTATTCTCAGAGATGAGGTGTATTAGGATTCTTTTGAGTATAAATAATTGAAGTCCAGCTTCAAAAGAAACAGAAACCAATATGGTTCAACTCATAATTTCATTAAAAATTTTCAGCTTAGTTTGCCCCAGGCAGGCAGGCAGGCAGGCAGGCAGGCAGGCAGGCAGGCAGGCAGGCAGGCAGGTTCTGTGGCTAAAAACTTTTTTTTTTTCCTACTTTCTTGCTTTACTCTCTTGGTCTTATTCTACATGAGGCTTTTTCTATATGGGAGGCAAGTTGGATTATATCCCAAGCAAGAAGAGAACATTTTCTTCCAGCTTCCATCTATCAATTTCAGAGTAAAGTCCAAAAAGCCTTCCTTGCCTTAGTTACGTGCTTTTGTGGGTTGATAGGTTACAAATTCCATGGTAGAAGTACTAGTGTGGTGTATAATATGGGTAGTGTTCCTCAAGAAGCTGTGCTAACAGTTTGTATAACACATTTGTTGTGCTGGGCTCAAGGACATTCCTGTTAAATTTGTAAAAAATTGTGTAAATTCCACTTTTATTTTCAGAAAGTGGAGACACATATACAATTATATGTGTGTAGAAGATGTGTACATTATCAGACAATGGGTTTTGATTCATTATTTTGTAATTTGACAAAGGGAAAGAATGGTTCTTCATTCAAGGTGTGCATGGCAGTGTTAATAGCCTTACCTCGAGATACCTCAGTGGCTCATCTCTTATTACGTGAGATGCCCTGTACAGTTTACTGAGTTTTATTGTTGTGGTATAGTATGGTTAATGACTATTTCACTCTTGTCCTGTTGGGAGGGTAACTCGGAAAGTTTGTAAGGTGCTGGTGAAAATGTCTGACATACACTCAAATACATTCTTTTTCTAATTTGCTATAATGGGAATTGTTAATGAAGTCTTACATTTCTTCACTTTTTTGTGAGTTAATGTATTCTGTGAATTGCCTGTTCAGATCTTTTCTACACTTTTTGTGGATTTTTCTTTTTAAATTGATTTATGAGATTCTTTTTTGTCTTTATTTAGGTGGTTACTTTGTGTTGCTTATTTTGGGAAAATGTATTTTCCTTTTCTTGTATTTCTCCTAGTGCATAATAGTTTAAATGTATTATAGATTAGGCTGGTGATGAATCTTAGGCTGGTAGAGTGCCTGACATGTAAGCTTGTTGCCCTGGGTTTGATCTCTGACAGCTCACAGGAACACAACAAATCAAAAAGCCAAATTAAACTGTATATATATACTGTGTATGTGCACATAATGCTGGGCTTCACGAAAAATAATTGGCTTTTTATGAAATTTTAGGGAAGGAATATTTTCACCTCAAAATTATCCTGATACCTGTATTTTCCTAATATATATTTATAGTTTAGTACATACATTTAAATATGTGATCCTTCTGAAGTACCTTTTGAGAAAGAAGATGAGATGCAGTTTTTAAAAATCTAACCTGTTACCTTAACACTGTTATACTGTTCAGTTAGTTCAGTTTTCCTTTTTTGAGTAGAAAGACTTGTTTTTTATCATGTGCTAGGTCAGTGGTGGCAAACCTGTGGCACACAGGCACGCAGCCGCTCTGTTGGTGCGTGAGCCACGTTGCCTTCGCATTTGCGTTGGGTAGCAGTTGTTTTTCTAACCTAAAATCTCAGTATTCAGGTTTAATTGCAGTGTTTGTACTTTGTAATAAATGAGTTGTTGGGGTTGCTATTAGAAAGGGAGAGATTGCTACAGGGTTTCAATATGTAGTTCAGGCTGGGTTTGAACTCTGCATAGCACAGGCTGGCCTCAGACTCATGATGATACTCCTGACTCAGCCTCCCAAGTGCTGGGATTAAAGGGATGTGCCACGATGACTGGTTTAGAAAAGATTTTTGTTATGGGCTAAGGGCATTCCAGGTAGAAAATGTTTAAAAATTAGATCGTTAACAATCTGTATATTTAGTTTAGCAGTGCTGTTTATTTTTACTCCAAGCTTGGATAACTGTGAGTGGTATAATATATTCTTGTGGGGTTTTAAAGTTACAGTATGACTCATGATGTCAGTTGATTTGAGCCAGAATTATAGTTCTCTTATCTTTTTCTAGATATGTTGGTCCTCTTAGTTTCCTCTTCTGCATTTTCACTTGCAAATTGTATTTATTTATTTATTTATTTATTTATTTTTGCAAATTGTTTTTATAAAATACCAAATCCAAGAATAACTCAAACCACTTAATTGTCTGTTCTCAGATATAAGGACTGTGGTTTTGTTTTGACACTGCTAAATTATGTTCCTTGTCCCACAAGAGGTAGAAAATAGGTTAGAAATATGACATTAATTCATTTGAAACAAATTAATGAATTTAATCAATTTCACATTGTGGCAAAGAGAAGAATATAGTTGTTAATGCTGGGTGTTGTGTTGTGCACCTGTAATCCTAGCACTCAAGAGCCTGTCAACCTGGGCTACAAAGTGAGTTCAAGACTAGCCAGAGCTACACAGTGGGACACTGTCTCAAAAAAATAAATATTTTTCTTTGTCAACTGTTAATCTGTTTATAAAAAAATACATGTGCTTTTTGAAATTTTAGAAAGCCTATATATTATAAAGGAAATTCAAGTACCAAAAGGGATTACTGTTTAACATTTTGACGTTTTCTGTTAGTCATTTTATTGTGCCTGTTATATAATGTGTATAACTGACACATACACATAACTAACAATTATATATCATATAACCAGTCTTCAGTCATTTTCCTTGATCTGAAAAACTGCTTTTAGGATTTCTTTTTTTAGATCCCCCCCCCCCCCCCCCCAGCAGGGATTGAACTCAGGCCCTTGCCAGGGAAGCGCTTATTCTACTGAGCCATTTCCCTTACCCCTAGAATTTTTTTTAATGTATTTGTTACAGGGTAGTGATCCTTCTGTTTTCAGCCTCCTAGCGGTTACAGGCATGTGCCACCACACCCAGTCTAGGTGGCCAGCTGATGCGGTTGGTGTGTTGTGTGGTGCTGGAGGTTGAATCCGGTCCCTGCACTTGTCTAATCAGGTGCTTAGTCCACTGAGCTATCTCGCCAGCCCTCTTTTTTTTTTTTTTTTTTTTTTTTTTTTTTAAGTTGTGATAGGGGCCGGGGAGATGGCTCAGTGGAATAAGCGCTTCCCTGGCAAACGCAAGGGCCTGAGTTCAATCCCTGGTTCCGCCAAAAAAAAAAGTTGTGGTATAACTCAGATACCATGAAGGTTGTCATTTTAAGGTATTTATTCAAGTGATTTTTAGTACCCTGAAGATTGGTGACTACTGTGTCTTAATTACTTTCTTTTTGCTGGGACAGAATACCTAATGCCCACAAGTTAAAGGTTTATTTTGGCTTACAGTTTGTAGAGATTTCAGCCCTCAGTTGGCTGTCTCCAGTGAGGGTGGAATGGTACAGGGTCATGGCTGAAGAAATGGAGTTTATGACATTGGCAAGGAGCAGGAGGCAGTTGTAATCAAGGGAGGAAGACATACATATTTATCTCCAGGCCGTGCCTACAGTGGTCTACCTCTTCCTACCAGCCTTCACATTCCAGCATCACACCCAGCTATAAAACCTTTAATAGACTAATCCATTAATCAGCATCATGTGCACCCATAATCCAGTTACCTTTCCAAAGCCCCACCTATGAGTGCATGAGGGTTTGGGGAGACATCTAGATGTAAACCATAACACATTATCATCACTAATTCCAGAACATTTCATCATGGATAAATTGTGATAACTAGCGTGAAGTGGATCCTCTTTGAAAAATTTCAAGGAATGGATTTCAAAGGATGAGCTTTAAATGCCCACATATTTTTTTAGAGAACAGTTCATAAGTGGAGAGAGATTAAAACCTTTCAACAATTATCCATTGCTTAGAATGGAAAAGTACTCAACATCTGAAGTGTGCCTGTGTCTTCAGTCTCATCTTCGACTGATCCCTAAGCCATAAATTTCACCTATATATATGTTTTTTAAAAATTATTTATTTATTTATTTATTTATTTTGTGTGTGTGTGGCCAGCTCAGCCCACCAGGGGGCGGGGCTGGCTGGCATGTGGTGCTAGGGATTGAACCGCGGTCCCTGTGCTTTGCTTAGCTTAGCTTGTTCTAAGTGGGTGCTTTAGACCACTGAGCCATCTCACCAGCCCCAAGTTTCACCTATACTGATCTTTGGAAAATTTACCCCTACTATCCCTTTTCATGTTTTTCTTACTATCATTTTGCTCATTAATTCTGCTAGAAAATATTTCATGTCTTTTTAGGATTAAACTAGTGGTTATAATATACCTTACTAGCAAGCTTTCTCTAGTTCTTCAAGTAATCTAGTGCTTTTTTTAAAATTTTATTTTGTGTGTGTGTGTGTGTGTGTGTGTGGCCAGCTCAGCCCACCAGGGGGCGGGGCTGGCTGGCATGTGGTGCTGGGGGATGAACCGCGGTCCCTGTGCTCTGCTAAGCTTGTTCTAAGTAGGTGCTTTAGACCACTGAGCCATCTCACCAGCCCAATCTAGTGCTTTATACCATCTGTCTTAAATTGGCTGAGTTTAGTATGGGTATACACCTGTTGTTTAGTATAATTACAAAGAGCAATCTGTTCATTTTCAGAAGTATTCTGGTTTCCAGAGTAAGCTATCCACCATTTTATAAACCCAGCAATAGTACACCACAGTTAGTTTTAACAACTTTAAGTTGCATACTGTATTTTATGTTTACTGATGTTTTTAGCCTAGGACACTTGTGGCTGTTGTAGGAAAGCATATTAGTGGTGTTGGGGTCATTGGGAGTAAATAACTCGGTAATTCCCATTGTCTGGTCTTCGTTAGAATCCATAAGCTCTGTTCAGTTTGAAGAACTTTTAGTGAATATTTTCCTCACTTAGTTCGGAAATAATATATTATTCCTCCACTGCATTGTGAATTCCTAGAGCCTTTACTTTGTACAGAAATGTGGTTAGCTATTTTTATTACTCTTCAATTAGAGAGGGAAAAGTGAAGATAAGGACAACAATTGAGACTGCCTATTTATATTTGATTGTAATAGTGAAAATTATCAGGTATTTGTCATTTTACAAGTAGGGCTTCTAGAGATTGAGTGGCTCTAAAACTGAATCTAGCTGAGTCTCTTTTACTGCACTCTTGGTAGTTTCTTGCCTGTCAGTTTAAAGACTACTAGCTTATTTGTTGCTTTTTACTTTTTTTTTTGCTAATAATATATTTTCTTTTTGGCTTTATAAAATAACGATTAAATTAAAACATTGTTTTGCTTATTTTTTCAGGTATTAGGAGAGAAATTCTTTTCAAAGAATAATTAATTAAAATTGTTATTAGTATACCACCTTGTTATTGCATAAAATGTTTAGATGTGAGCAGTTAAATAAAGTATTTCGATAAACAATTTAAAATTACTTAATTTATGTCAAGTTTTGGGTTAAAGATGGTAGTTATCATCAGTAAATGTTTATTTTGAACACATTTAGGAAAGAAATTGATTGGTAATATTTTCTTATAGTACAAGGTGATCCTCCTGTTTTCAGCCTCCCCAGTTCTGGGGTTATAGCTGTGCACTACCACGCCTGGATTCCATCCAGCTCAGCACGCCCCAGGGCAGGGCCGGCATGGCATGTGGTGCCAGGGTCCCAACCCTGGTCCGTCTTGCCGGTCCTGAACCAGGAGTTTTGCGCTGAGCTACATCTCCAGCCCCATTTATGTATGTATGTATGTATGTATGTATGTATGTATGTATGTATGTGTGTATGTATGTATGTATGTATGTATGTATATTTTGAGGGAGGGTCTTAGTCAGTTGCCCAGGAGGAACTCTGATCTGTAATTCATCTGCCTTGTCTTCCTAGTGTGCTGAGATTTCAGGCATGTGCCATTAAGCCTAGTTTAAATCAGTGTTTTACTTTTTTTTTTTTTTTTCTGGACTACAAGTAGACGAAGATCACAGGTCCTTTATATCCTAGGCAAGTGCTGCATCACTTAGTTACGTTGTATAGATTTTCTAATATAACTTACTTTTTGTTGGTGTTGGGCATTGAGCTCAGTGCTTTGCACATGATATTCAGATGCTCTACTCCTAGGCTGTATCCTCACCCTATGTGTGAATTTTCTCACATGAAATCAGATTACAAGAAAACTTGTACTGCAAGAAAACCTCTTCGTTAGGAGGAATATGAAGAAAGAAAAATACTTTTAGTCCAAAAACTTACTAAGAATTAAGATTTTATAAAAGGCAGCACTAGATTACATATACGTATTGTATATATGTATCTGTAATTATCCTTCAGTGTTCTTGTTTCTTTCTGTTAAGAGTATACAATTTATTTTGACCTTTTAATGGCTGTGGTAGATTTGCAGAAATCTATTTATGAATAAAAGAGTAGATTGGAATTAAATATATATTGAGGGTGCCATTTGCGGTTGTACAGTTTGATTAAAGTAATTAGGTTGATACAAAATTTAAGGCAGGGACTGGGGAGATGGCTCAGTGGAATAAGTGCTTCCTTGGCAAGCAAAGGGCCTGAGTTCAATCCCTGATTCTGAAGAAAAAAAAAAAAATTTAAGGCAATATTTGTTCAATTAAATTATTTATGAAAATAACCCTGTTTTTAAAAATTAAAATTTATTGCCTGTTTACTCTTAGATGTTGTTTAGTAAGTTGTACATTAGACAAAATATAGTATATTATATAAAAATATGAGGAGACATTATCACGATTGTATTTCATTATATGGTAAGTACAAAATGAGAATATTTTGGATGCCAACAATTTATTCAGTCTCAGCACAAGTGTCTTCAGTTTGAAATTCCATCAACGTGTATGTGGTCTATGTGCTTTCTATATGTATGGTTTATTTCAATTAAATATAGAAATTGGTGTTAAAGTTTGGAAAAACTGATCTTTTCTATTTATTCTCTTTCAAGGAAATGATTATTGACAGAGTAAATGGACAGGCAGTTCCTAGATATTTGATATATGACATAATTAAATTCAATGTAAGTACTTTTTAATTTTTTAAATTTTGTTTTCTTTCTTTTTCTTTTTTTTCTTTGTAAGTACTTTTAATAATGTTTTTGTTTTGCATTTGTTTTTTGGTGATAAAAGTCCTGCTTTGTAGTTGAGGCTAGCCTTAAACTTGCTGTGTAGCCCAGGCTAAGCTTGAACATGCGGTCTTCCTATTGTAGGCTGCTGAATGCTGGGATTACTGGTGTACACTACCATGCCTGGTTTATAATATAGAAAATTATTACTTTAAATTGTCACTGGCATAATAAATGTATTTTTTTTTTTAAGAAAGTCTATTTGCTATTGCCTCAAATAGTAGGAAGAAATTGTTATTTAGGTTGTATGTTTGTCATACACCCATTGGACATCTTTTTTAATACTTTTGTATCCTTTTTTCTTTCATTGCCTAATATATTCCATATATATTTGTCTTTCGGCTACTTTAACTTCAGTTGAATAAAGGAAAACAGTTTAACTGATGAAATGAAACAACATTATGTAAAATGGAAATTACTTTTTTTTTTTTTTTCTTCTGTATTCAGTACAGGGTCTCACTACTAGATCAGACTTGTAGTGATTCTCCTGTTTTCAGCCTCCCAAGCGCTGTGATTACAGGGGTGCACAACCACCCCCAGTGTCAGTCACCATCTCAGTGTGCCCCAGGGGTGGGGCTGGCAAGGCAGGCTGGGGATCAAACCCTTGTTGCTGAATTCTTCCTAAGCAGATCCTTTAGTCCATCAGCTATCAGGCTGGCCCTTAAAATGGAAATTACTTTTAAAAAATTATTTGGTTTTTGATTATCCTGTACTTGCTTTTAAAAATAAGCCCATGTTATTTCTTAAAATATGAATAAAAAATTCCCTCCAAAGAGAAACAATTAGGAGACATTGAATGTATAACTTGAAGACACAAGTATGTCTTCCTGTTTATGTTTGATTATAATATGAGTATCTGAAATTACCAACAAAGTGAAAAGGCAACCCATGTCTGCATAAGACAATAATATGCAATGTATCAATTATTGAAAATAAGCCAGTAAAGTTGTGAAACTGTCACATTGATATTTGTTTCTCAATAAAATTATTAAAAAGAAAAAAAAAAACCCAAAAAATCACAAAAAGAAAACAAATGAGTGTCTGTATTACTTAGGCAGTACAACATAGCTTTTGTAAATAAAAATAGTGTACATTTATGAAAAGGTATAATCATCTTCTAGATGTATATTATTCAAATAGTATCATTTGATATTGAAGTCAGAATGAAAATGTTTAAGAATTTTGGAAATAAGTATTCTAAGTTTTGAACATTTATGACAAAACTAAAGCTCTTTTTTGGGGGGGGCTCTACTTTAATAAATTGCAACATGAAAGCTTCAGGATTGTCATAATCTAGATTAGTTAATGGCATGGTTTTCCTGGAAATTTTCAATGTATTTTTTTGGGATCAATTTGTATATTTCAAAATAGTGTTTTAAATTTTAGAACCTTACAGCAACTGGTTATGGTGGTAAACCTCTGTAATCACAGCATTTGGGACACTGAGGCAGGAGGATCACTGTGAGTTTGAGGCCAAAGTAGGCTACATAAGTGAGTTGATGGCCAGCCTGGACTACACAGTGAGATCTTATCTCCAGAAAACCAAAGAATGGAAGAAAGAAACTTAAGACTAGAAGACATCAATTTTTCATTCTGTTATGTTTGTGATTACTGTATTCCTGAAAACAGTACTTGCCAGAGTTGGCTAATCTTTTCACAGATACTGGAATAACATTCATTGGCCTGTAAATATACCTAGGGGTTGAGATGGCTGTTTCTCTTGGAAATCCAGTGCAGGTTTCTTCTCTTCTCGATTTGATTTTATGGTTCAAATAATATGTGCTTTAAGGACATTCAAAGCAAAGTTTATTGGGGGAGAAGAGAAGACAGCTTTACCTTTCTAATAAGTGTGTAACTTTGAACATAATAGAAAGTTTTACTGTATTAATTTTTAGAGGTGATATGTACTTATGTCCTGATGCTGTGTAGTGTTAGGTGACTGTGCCATTTGTTTTACTGTGTAATTTACTCATTCTTTTGAATTGTATGGATTGCATATTTTAATGTATTATGTAAGTAATGAAAATGAGTAGTCTGTATATCAATGCTTTAATTTAAATGTGAAACATTTGGATCAATTTATAGTAGATTTATGCTACTTTCTTGCACTGTTTTGTGAGGTAATGGCTTTAAAATAACTATGTACTTGTAGACATGTGTATATCTAATCAAACTAGTTATTTGGGCTGGTAACCTACTTGATACAAGGTGGCAGCCTTAATTATGTTGATAAAATAATTTTGGGGCTGAAATTAAAAAGTTGTCTTTATTATTCAGGCCCAGCCAGTTGGCGATTGTGATTTTAATATTCGTCTACAGTGTATAGAACGAGAAATTATAAATCCTCGACATGAAAAAATGAAGAGTGGGCTCATTGACAAAACACAGGAACCATTTAGTGTCAGAAATAAGCCATTTTTTGACATTCATGCTTCACGAAAGGTAATGTTTATCTTCTCCTCTCCTCTCTTCTCCCCTCCCCTCCCTCTCTCCCTCCCCCTCCCTCTCTTTCCCTCTTTCTCCCTCTCTCTCCCTCCTTCTCTCTGTCCCTCTCCCCCCCTTCCTCTCTTTGATAGGGTCTTGCTAAAGCTGACCAGGCTGTCCTTGAACTGGGGATCTTCCACCAGCCTTAGTCTCCTGAGTTGCTGGGATTTTATGCATACGCCACTGTACTCAATTTGCTTTTTAATTCATGTATCATAATTCAGCTTGTGAGAGGACTGTGAATGAGTTTGCTGCCCAATTGCCTTGACTTTACCAGAGATGACTAAATCAGATAAGACACTGTTGACCAAACATGAGTCCTAGGCTTTTTCTGTGTAGTAATATTCTTAGTAGTGGAAACTTAAAATAGGTTGCTTCCTTGTTTCTCATAACATTTTGATTCAAGACCATTGTCCATATTATTTAAAAAAATTTTTTTTAAACAAATCTTTCCCCTCCCCTCCCCTGCCTTCCCCTCCCCTCCCCT